ATTTTCTATAATTATACATAAAACATTTTTTCCTGGGTCATCAAAATTTGTAGAAGGAAATCGTAGGAGGAAGAAATTTAAAGACGCCTAAAGTAATCGCGCATAAGTACGAGTATGCTGAAACAATCACCTGATCGGTTGCGCAGATTTCCGAATGCGCACATGCACTTAAGAATCATATGGTGAGCACATTTCCAACGAGACGTATATATATATATATTCTTGATGTCATCCCTTCCTTCTCCCTTTCGAATATGAATCTATCTCGGTTTCACAAATACATGAGAAAATGTAAGAAATGTGCGAAGCAGTAGCTTCTTCGATCGAACAGAATCGGTGCAATTTTAACGAAATTATACATTTGATTGATTCGAATGCGAAATTAATCAAATATATAATATAAAACGACTACATTTTGATATTTTTATTCTAAAAATATTTTCTGAATCTTTTCTTAAAGAAGTACGTTAAATATTCGTTTAATTACGTTTAAAGTAAAAAGTTACATAAAGTGATATAATGTTTAAGGTCAACTTTGCACGATCCTTTCAGACTTGTTTTTTAACTGAAATTCTTGCACGATTTTTTCCTCTTTTTTTTTCACGTTGGACAGAAAAAGAGGAAGGCTAAACTGTGCATGAAATTCAGCTAAAAAGAACAGAAATCTCGTAGAAAATCGCATCAGATTTCTAGCTCAGAGAATCTGATTCCATTATTTCCACTTATATAATTATCTATGCTGTCTATTTTTAACAAGTATATTTTTAACGTATATTTTAATATTTATATTTTATATCTGCGATTGGCTTGATACTTTTTTATTTTACACGTTAATAAAATTGTAAATACAATGAGAAAAAAATTGTTTGACTGAATTAATTTAGTTTGTCTTTATTTCTTTTGAAAAATATATTCAAACATTATATTTGACATAAATACATATATTTTCCAATGAAAGAAATAAAGACAAATTTTATTAAATTAATTTAGTCAAATGAACAAATTCTTTTCGATGTAAAACCTAAATCTGGTAGTAATTTTAAATTATTTGAAACTCATTTCAATATAGATTAAGTTTAATCTGGGTTTAATTCTTTATCTTTTCCTAATTTTTAGAATGAGAAAAAGAAAAATAAGAAATTAAATCAAAATTAAAGTTAATCTATATTAGTAGAAGTGCGCATCAAAACAAATTCATTTAATTAAATCGATGGATTAATGTCTATTTCTACCAATGTGGATGAACTTTAATCCTAGTTTAATTTATTCTTTGTTTTTTTTTTAATTCTTAGAATTAGAAAAAGATAGACAGCAAATTAAACCGAGATTAAAATTAATCTACAGTGACAGAAACGAACATGAGACGGCGTTTAAATGTAAACATTGAAATCGTTAAGAACCTTGATAATTCAGATAGTACACAATATTTATAAAGTATTTATAAATATTTTGTTAATATTTCTGTGGTCTTAGATTGTCACAGATCATAAATATTTATTAGAAATATTTATATTTATTTATATTTATCATAAATATTACATAAAATATTTAGTCTATATTTTAATAATATTTCAAATAAAGTTTTATATAAAATATGTATAAAATATCTATATAACATTTCAAAAAATGAATATTAATAAATATTTTGTGCTGTCTGAGAAAGAAAGTTCCGTAATGCAAGCTCGCAGACAATTTTCTTTTAATACTATATAAAGAAGTATATAAAGAACCATAGAAATACATAACTAAACACTTTTCTTTCGGAAATTTAATACTGAGCAATTTAATACCGAAAATTACTTATTTTCAGTTTTCAAAGTGTTGGATAACGATGCTTTTAATATACGAAAGAGAAGTAATTACTACTTTGCGATAAATTTGTGTAAAAAAGTTATATATTATACTTGATAAAGTTTTATATACATATATTAAAACTTCATACACACTCCATATACCTATTATTTACGAAATTGTTTTTATTCGGCAATATTTTCGTACACTGAAAAAATATATTAAATTTTAATAAATATTTAAATATCGAATGTTCGAATAGTATTATCAGTAAACGAGAATGGATTGAAATGGATTGAAATGGATTGAAATAGATTCGGATTTTCAGAAATACACGCAAACATTGAAATAAATCCTTTTCAATCCCAATACATTTTTATTCATTTATAGGTATTGCATGAAGTACATTTCATGCCTTTCAATCTTAAAAAAAAAATTCATTTTTCTAAGTGTATTGTGAATACTGTTCAATTCAAAATTTTTTGAATAGAAAACGCAATTTTTCAATCCAATTAAATATTTAAAAAAGTAAAAATATACCATGAATGCTACTAAAGCACAAATGGTTTTAAATGAATTAAAACTTCAATCCATTTTCATACATTCTCCTTTACATAGGTAATCAAATATTTACTAAATTGTAATCGTTGTATTCATTTGGTACACGAACCATTAGTTTGATTTAACAATCATTTGTTTTTATCGAGTTGATATTTATTTACTAATAAATATCAAGTAATACTGACAAAAATATTAGTAAAAGTATGAAAATGTAATAAATTTTTATCTCGGTGTATAACTATTAATAATCGGTGACGCAGAGCAGACGGAGCTGACGGATCTCGGCTCGGCAAGTGTCGCTCCCTCGCGGACGAACGGCGCTTCCTGACCTCAGCGACAGCGGGCAAATCTGCCCGTATCGTCTCCGGAGTCCGGCGAAGTCAACGTGAACGGGGACGCCGTCATAGAGCACGAAAGTGCGCACGCAGGGATTCGTCTCACCATCGACGAGATGCTTCCGTGACGTCGCGGCGAGCCGGTCGACGGTGTCGCCGTAAACCCGTCGTCGTCGTCGTCGTCCCCCCTGTCGGGAATTCACCTCGGAAGGAATCCGCGAGCCGTCGCTCGGTATAAACCGACAGTACGGACGGAGTATCATACGAGTATCGGCGCGACAGCCGCTACGTAAGACCTCGTAGCGATGTGAAGCGACACGCTCAGCGGCGTGTTGTCTTGTCGAGCCAGTCGAGCGGTGGACGTGCGGGACGGACGGTGTAGCGCGCGAAAGAGAGAGAGAGAGAGAGAGAGAGAGGTAGGGGAGGGAGAGAAAAAAAGAGAGACGTTTTTCCGACCGGCATGCGCGCAGCAGGACGGGCGAATCTCGGATTCGAGACGAAGTGAAAACGGAATTACGGAACAGAATCCGCGGGAGAGACTCGTATCGTCGCGTCGCGTGTCGATCGCGCCGCGAGGGTCCGTTGAAAAGTCAGAGTGACAGAGAGAGAGAGAGAGAGAGAGAGAGAGAGAGAGAGAGAAAGTGAGCTTCGGCTGGGAAGGGGGGGACGTCCCACCCCCCTCCCTCTGCCCCGCTCGCGAACACCTGTGCGTGCGGTGCGGAGTGCGGACAGTCGCGTCCCGACCAGTCCCGACATCGCTGCCCATCTCGTGTAGTCGTGTATATATGCACCCGCTTTGTAAACTCCAGATGCGCTGGAGCGCCATGGAGGAGTCGCCGGAAGCAGCAGCGGCGACGACGTACGCGTCGCGCTGCCGCGCGTCACCGTAAAGATCCGTCCACGCCGTATGATCTTTCCCCGTTTCCTCACCTCCCGGCCCGTTCCGTAAGTTCCGTTGGGGTATTAGCATTGGGGGGGGAGGGGGGACCCCGTCGCGCGTTTTCGCCGCGAGTGAATGTGCCTACGTGCGTGCGTGCGTGCGTGCGTGCGTGATTCCTGTGCGGGATATCAACCCCGCGGTTGGTTGATCGGTGGTGCGACGGCGGTCATCGTCGCGGTCTCCGCGGGATCGACACCGAGCGACGTCGCGCTCGAAGGGGTTAGAAGGAAAAAAAAAAAACAAGAGGAGAAGACGTTTGGCGGTGGTGCGGGACGAAGGGGTGGGAGGAGGAAGGGACCCGCGCGGTGTGAGTTGTAACGAGAGAGCGAGCTGCGAGAGGAAGCGGCAGCGACGAGACAGCCAGTCAGTGCCGAGTGCGCCAGAAGCGACGAATTCGACCAGCGCTCCCTTTGTCCGCGCTTCGTCCGAGAGGAACAGAGAGATTCACGAGGGAGACAGAGAGAGAGAGAAATTCGCAGCGGATCCACGGCAGAGCATCGTCCCGACTGTTCCAATCGACGTTGGTTTGATGCCGACGCCTCGACGACGACGACGACGACGTACCACGCAACCGTCGAGACGCCCGGGTCGATTTTTCTACGCGGCGCCGTCGTCAATACGTCGAGAACTCGTTCTCGTCCCGGTCACGCCGGACCGCGACATCTCTAATCGACCGACGACGCGCGTGGTGTTATGTCGTCGCCGACGGTGGCCCGCGTGACTCGTCGTGGCCGGTAACGAAAAGCGCGCGCGTTCTCCGACGGGAAGAGAAGACGAGAGGAATCTCAGAATGTGAAAGAGTGTACGGGAAAGTACGAGAAAGTGTTTGGAAAGGAAAGATTTAACGGAACGAGGAAGAGGGCGATCTACCCAGTCACATTTGGATATTCGTTATAGTAAAGAAAAAGAAAAAGAGAAAAGAAAAAGATAAACAAAAAGAAAGAGAAGAAAAGGATTGTATTGTAGACAATCATCGGCTTTCGCGTCGCGAGTGCGAGCAAGTGTGTTCGATGAGAGATTTCAGCGATCGCGCGGTGTGTCTGTGTTTACGTGGGTAGTCCCGAGACAGAGGGTTATCCTCTTGAAGGATACGATATCGCGGATACGTGTTTTCGTCGATCGAGAGAGCGAGAAAGAGCGATAGCAGAGAAGGAGAGAGCGGGGCGGTTCTTTGTATGGCCATCGGGAGGCGGGAATCGCGTCTCGCCGCGAGGTGGAATCGATCGGCGGCGAGAATCGGCGGAGAATCAGGACCGGGTGAAGGGGCCCCCCGCCGGGGGGAGTATTTTCGTCTGGCGACGGGTGAAAGAATGGAACATCGGCGGCAACGGCAACGGCAGCGGCAACGGCAACGGCAACGGCAACGGCAGCAGCAGCAGCAACAGCGGCGGTGGCGGCGACGCGGCGACAGCGACCGCGGCCTCGACGGCGAAGTCGTCAAACTCGCGGCGGCGGCGGCAGCGGCGGCAGCCCGGTGCCAATAACCTTCCGCACGGAGAGCACGAGCGAGCGAGCGAGAGTGTCGGGAGACTTTTGGTTAAGCCCCGCTTCTACGCGCGGCGATGATGCGCTCGCCCTCGTCGCGCGCGACAGATCGTAAAATTAGAAGACGTTCGAGGCGACGTCGCGATCGCCTTTTGCGGTGCCGATTTTGCGACGATTGCGACGGTACTCGACGGCCGAGAGTCTCCACGGGTGGTGTGATGACAGTGCGCGTCGCGAGAGTGCGGCTCCGTAGTTTCTCCCGCTGTGCGCGAGTGCCCCGGAATTTGTGAGTTCGCGTCAAGCCCGGGATCACCGACCGATCACCCGAAGAGAGAAGGTAGGAGGTCGACCGACGATCATCGCTTGCTCGTCGAAGAAACAGCGTGATTCGCAACTCGTCGGCAAAGTGTGCCCCTTCTAGTCCGCTGCATTTACGAGGGCCGTCGTTTTTTCCGCGGTCCCTGGAGATAATACAATTAGTGGAATTATCCTTTCTCGAGAAAAGGGCTTCTTCCTCGATTTCGCTTCGATTTCTTCAACTGGAGGAGAGAGGTCGGCGGGAGGTCGCTGTTCGTTAGTCCGAATTTCAATTCGTCCCGCAGTTCGGCCCGCAGTCATCCTGGATCCTCGCCTCCAAGTCATCGTCGTCTTAACGGAGAGGCATGTCTCCCGTAACATCCGGACTGTCCTTCGCGTCCGGCGCGAACGCGAGGATCACGCGCGTGACGCCAGAACACACGGAGAGACGCTGATCGCGCGCCACGTGGATACTTCTCGGTGGCGAACCTCGACGAGGACAGACAGGACGGACGTGAAACAAATGGGCACCAATGACTAGCTTGGCCCTATCGGCGGCGGCAAGCAGGATCGAGATGCCCCTCTCCAAAACGAATCCGTTCGTGCAGGCGGGCGCGATCTCGACACAGCCGTACATCTCAAGCAGCGAGAGCAGCAACCACCTGCCGCCGATCATCAAGGGTACCGGGTTGACCGGCTTGAAGCAGACCGGCGGTGGCGGTGGCGGCGGTGGTGGAGGAGGTGGAGGTGGCGGTGGCGGTGGCGGTGGCGACGAGTCGGTGCCTTACGTGGGTTACCAGAAATTACCGTGGAAAGGCGAGAGTTACGGTCTGAGTAACTGGCCGGTGAATTATAGTTTCAGTCACAATTCGCATTCGCAACCCAACAGCCAGTCGAGCAGTCCAGTGGTGAGAAACGGTCGTTCCGATGGCAATTCTAACAGCGGAGCTGGCCGTGGTGGTGGAGGCGGAGGAGGAGGCGGTGGCGGCGGTGGAGGAGGCGGCGGAGGCGGCGGCGGCGGCGGAAGTGACAACGGAGGAGGCGTTGGTGGTGGCGGAAGCGGCGGCGGCGGCGGTGGAAGCGGCGGTGGTGTCGGCAACAATAGTATCGTCAGCGTGAAACCGAAGACGGCGACCATCACGCCGGAGATGGTAATGAAGCTTTACATGAACAAGCTAACGCCGTACGAGCATCACGAGATCTTCAACTACCAGCAAATCTACTTCATCGGCGCGAACGCGAAGAAACGGCCCGGTATCATCGGCCGGCCGAATAACAACGAGTACGACAACGAACAGGGCTCGTACATTCACGTACCGCACGACCACGTGGCTTATCGGTACGAGGTTCTCCGCGTAATCGGCAAAGGCTCCTTCGGTCAAGTGGTCAAGGCCTACGATCACAAAACGCACGAGCACGTGGCATTGAAGATGGTGCGGAACGAAAAGCGCTTCCACCGTCAGGCGCACGAGGAGATACGTATACTGCGCAAGCTGCGCGAGCAGGACAAGGACAACACCATGAACATCATCCATATGTTCGACTCGTTCACCTTCCGCTGCCACATGTGCATCACGTTCGAGCTCCTCAGTATCAACCTGTACGAGCTCATCAAGAAGAACAACTTCAAGGGCTTCAGCCTCCAGCTTGTGCGCAAGTTCTCGCACTCGCTGCTTCTCTGCCTCGACGCGCTCTACAAGAATAAGATTATACACTGTGACATGAAGCCGGAGAATGTCTTACTCAAGCAGCAGGGCCGAAGCGGCATTAAGGTGAACACGATCACGTAAATAATTCTATATTTATAGATATCGCGCGATTCTATTATTTTCCCAACAAATATATGTGGTTAGGTTGCTCTCCCAACTCTACCGAGTATTCAGTTGAGTTTAATCGGCGAATCGAGTAGACGATTTCTCTCCTTCATTGTGTGTGACTACGTCGTGAACGATTATTTATTATTTAACAAATATTTTTCACAACCTTATTATTATTTTCAGTTCCATGATTTTCATCTTTTCGGATTTTCATCTTTTTAATCTTTTTAAAATGAAAGAAATAAGGTCCAATTACGTCAACTTTAAGCAAAGCTACACTAATTTACAATGTAAATGTCATGTATATGTAAAATATGAGTTAAAGCAATTTTGGAGCGAATACCGATTAGGTTCAAATAGATCAAAATTTACAGGATAAGGGAAATAAGAGAGTTAAAAAATACTTAACGTTAAAATATTAACTTTATTAGAAGTAGAGAATATATTTTCGTATTATACAGTGAATCACGTTTGCATAGATCTGTAAAATTTGTTTTCACAAATCACTTCTCATTTTGCAAATAAGAGAATTGAGATAAGATTATCGAAAAATGAATTTTTTTTTTAATATTTTATACGCATCGGAATAAAAAAATATTTCATATCCCTTGTATCTGTTTTCATGTATTTTGATGTGAAATATCTCGAAAACATTCACTTTGCGCCTTTATTTTTTTTACGCAGAACAAGAGAAATCGATTTGTATTAAAAAGGAGTTATTCAAATATGCGAAAAACCACTTTTATCTCTATCGTGATTAATTATTTTACCTGTGTATCAAACGCGTTTGCTCCTTTCAATAAATATTATACGCTTGCAAATTTTTTATGGACAATATATGAAAACAATTTTACAAGTAAGATTTATAGCCTGTAAAGATAAATAAGTGTGTACATATCGCGCAATCGAAAGGCTTATAATTTATCGCCGTGTCCCAGAAACCGATATTTTGGGATTAAGCCGCGATATTTCGCTGCTGCTAAATGGGATTCGCGAAAATCAGGTGATCAGACAAACAATAAAATTGCGATTAAAATAAACAAACCGGATGCGTTAAAGTTCGATTAAAGAATTTACTACGATCCAAAATCTTTCTTCGAATTTCTTTTTTTTTTTTTTCGAAACTAGACAAAAATCTATTTTGAACTTAACAGAATTGGATTTAGATTTATTTCCATCTAAAGTTTTTAAAGAAATAAATTAACTGTCACTGTTGTGTACCGACAACTTGATGCATGGAAATCTTTACTTTTGTAACTACATACGAGTAGTTCGACGCGAATTTCTTTAACGCAACGAAGACACAATGTTTGAAAGCAAATTTATAACTTGAGGCACATGGGCGGTGCACTCGACACATTCTTTGATATTTGCGATAATATTTGCGAAACAAGAGCTCGAGTCTCTCTCGAAGGCATCTTGAGAAACCACTTATTATTTCTCGTAACGCGATCCTTTATTGACATTCCTTTATACACTTTGCATGCGGAAGCCTTTACTACTCCACGTCGGAACAACAAATATGTCGGTGTACCGACGATATGCACTGAAGTCATGATACGAGTGACGTTCCAGGAAATACTAAAACTCGTATCTATATATTTTATTTATACAGGGTGTCTCTTAAGTAAGGGCGGAGCCGCATTGGGGGCGAATGGGTCAAGGGAAACAAAAACGTCTTATACCATTTTGTAAATTTTCGCAACAATTAATAAGATATTAATTACTAAAAATGGCCGAATATTGATCTTTTATAATTTTTTTTTTCAAATACTATCAATTTTATAAAAAAAACTATAAGAGATAAAAATTGTTCATTTTCTCCTCGTAGAACTCTAAGAATTTTTTCAGAATTTTTTATCAATTTTTCAATACTGCTTATTTTCTTATTTTTATTATCATGAGAAACGGTATTAAAAAATTCTGAAAAAATTCTCAGAACTTTATGAAAGAAGAAAATAAACAATTTTTGTCTCTTACAGTTTCTCTGTAAAGTTGATAGTATTTGAGACTTATTGAAAATTATTGAAGACCAATATTCGGCCATTTTTAATAATTAACATCTTGTTAACTATTGCGAAAATTGCAAAATAGTATAAAACTTTTTTGTTTCCCTTTACCTATTCTACGCCCCCAACGCGACTCCGATTTTACTTAAGAGACACCCTGTATACTCCATCTTTTTACTTTTACTTACTTTGTTCCTTTATATGTCTTCTTATCTCGTCAAAAATATCACGTACAGAAATATTTTTTAACACCCTCTTTTACTCCCTTTCTTTACACGAGCGCCTTTGTTTTTGTGAGACTGGGGGTTTTCAATTAATACTAATCGATATTCCGCTTTGTCCACGAAACATTTTCCATGTACACAGCAGCCGCGACCTTTAGCCCCGACTGTTCCCGAACGGGGATCCGATATCGGTGAAATCGTACGGAAGGCTGTCGGAGGTTGCCTTTTCCCCTCGCGAATAATATGACGCGTCGCGCTTCGAAAAACAAAAAAAAATCAGCCGAGTTCATGGCTAATCGACAAACGGAGAGAGGACGCGCGACAAATGTTGTCTGGCCATTGCGCAGGCACAGTCACGAAACAGGCATAAATAAACTCTCTTAACCCGTTTTCATTATTAAGATGAAAATATATTTGCTAATTATATGATGAGATTCGTTAAATTTGAATTAATCTGAGAGCCTAAGTAATATGAAATTTTTTTTAGTACCTTCAATTTAATTTGAATCAAAATTATATGTACGAGATTGGTGTGATACAAAATTAAAAAACATTTTTTTATTGATATACACAAGGAATTATGAAAAAAATATTATTTCTCCGTTGGTATTGATATACATATTTGATGGATCACAATCGATATTTAGGAGTCCAGTGGATTTTCGGATATTTTCTCAAATAAATATTTGCAATAAAAACAAATGATATATAAATAATTTTTATGGTGGGAGAGGTACAATTTAATAGACGTGATTTTTATATCAAATAAATATGTTTACATTTCGTAAATATTTAGAAATAAATATTTATTAAAATTTCGTATTTTGTTCAGTGTAAAATTAAAGGCACAATCGATTTTTGAATTGTAAATTTTGGTAGATAAACTTAAATCTGTACAAAATAAATAAAATACAATCCAACTTCTATGATAATAGAAACTCGTTGTTAAAATTTTTACAGTTTTATATAAGAATTTTTTCATATTTTTGTACAGTCCGAAACAATATAAAAATGTGCATTAAAGTTGGATGATCAACACGATTTCATTGAAGTATCTAGAAGAATTTAACTAAATAGAGAAAAGTAATTTTGTTAGAAATATATAGGAAACTCAAACTAATGAATAATACTGCTGCAAACAATTTTGACATTTAGCAATCAATTTTGACTCTTTCTTATTCTCTACAATTATTTAAGGTTATTATTTACAAAACTTTATCATAGTCTGTCCACATTTTTACCAAATATAGATCAATGTGATTAAACTTTTACGTTTTCATCTTGTTTTTAATTCTAAAAATTAGAAAAAAAAATTAAACCAAAATTGAAGTTAATCTACATTAATAAAATTAATGATGCCGAATTAATGATGTTAAATAATTAAGTAGTCGCTTCTAATGTTGCACGTGATTTAATGCGACACTCAATTTATCGAAACGGTCCGTAAAGCGATAGTTAC